TTTTAGTTCAAAGTTATATTTGGTTATAAATCGTTTAAACTCATAACAACTTGTTATGAGTAGCATGCATACTAATTGTAATAAAATATATCAAATATAGATAGGCCAACCGTCGGATTGCCTTCTGAAAATGCGACGTTGCTATTGTTAAACTTTGATTGGTAACAAGAAGCAAGAAAAAAAAATATATAAAAATAATATAAAAAAAAATTGAAACATTGTCATTTTTCCCTAATTTCTCATTCCCTACTACCGCCACAATGTAATAATTAAAAAAAAACTAATGATTAGAAATCAATATGTGCATTTTCTCTAATATATTTGTAACAGCACTTATTACATAACGAGTCTTAACCAATGTGCTGCCTATTAATATTTTGTCTAAAGAATACTTAATATATATAATTATGTGTATAATTTAGTCACAAAATATGTTTTTTTCAAAATAATTGTTTTTCAAGTTGCGCGCATGATTTATATAACGTGTTATCAAATCTTTACCGAAAATCTACCTGCGAGCGATTCTAAATTAACGCAAGGCATGACCTTTTTGTATGTATACCCTCACATATATGCTTGCGACAAATATAACCTACCTTTTAAATGTCATCAAAACCCTTTTGTTATATTACCAAACACAACATATTTTGATCTCGATTCATCAATAAAACGAAACATTTATGCGCAATCAATGCTTTTGCATAATTATATCATTTAGAAATTTTGCACCAAAATTAAATGATAAATCATTAGTGATTAAATCAATAAATTTAAATTATTTAACAAGTTTGTAACCATTTAATCGGTATTCTCTCGCCACAGAATTATTACGACGCGTTAATAGGCGTTGAATCCATTTGCCATTAATTCTGACTATGTGATACTATGTTATTACTCGCCCCTTTTATAATTAAATTTTGCTCTGGCTATATTATAGAAGATTACATAACTATTTTGTTTACGATAGCTACACTATTAATATCTCTCAATTGCCACAAGGCCAAAATGACATATGATTTTAATAAAATGGATTATTGTATTATAATAAAGGGTAACTCTTTCAAGATATTCTACTATAATAAACGTTACTTCTAATTCATAAAAACACAATATTTAATTGATTGAAAGTAGAAGTATTTATCATATAATTTATAAATAAATCGAAATAAAATAGTTCATATTTTGGTGAAACTGGTGTACTTATCTATACCATTAAAGAAATATAATTTCAACTCCTTGACAAATTTAATTGTAAATTTTTCGCGCACATATCTAATAATTATTAATCTTACGAAATTACACTATAATATTTTCAAAATTATTACCAGTTTGTATCATTTAAGTCACACAATGGGATTATGGAATTGACCTGCATGAAGTATTTTGTTGCAATATACCATTTTTAATTTGAAATTCATAACTAATGGGCCAATTCTACTATAAAATAGACCAATGTTACGGCAAGGCTAGCTATGCTAGGCAGCGTTTTTCATATGAAATGGTACTAAACACACTGTCAAAATGCTATGTTGTTGCTGTTCAATCAGGCGTTTTAGATATAAAACCTAACCTAGAAAACGCACACTTCAAACAAAAGAATCTTCTCGTAGGTGCAACTTTTGGATGTGTCATAATAATACATGCGAGAGGTCAGATTTTATGTGTAAAACGCCTGATCGCACAGCAAATACTTAGCATTTTAACAGTTTTTAGTGTCATTTTATATGAAAAATGCAGTATAACATAGCCTTGCCATAACATTAGTCTAATTTACGACAGAATTGGTCCAGAAAATTTAAAAGTTATTTTATAAGACGTATGCCTACTCATCTAATTCTGATATTGCACAAATAGGAAAAGCAGTTTTAATATGATTTAATAATAATAATTTCACTCTTAAAGATGATAATAAACATACCGAATCGGCGACTGTTTCTGCCAGATTACCGGGCGCCCCGTTCGGCAAATCCGCCGCGGCAGCTTGAGCCGCCGCAACCGCTAAGGCAGTTTCTTTGCTCTCCTCCTGCTGCTGTTGGGCGCGCACGTGGTTGGCTGCCGAACTCGTGGCTGCACCATTCTGCGGTCTCGTTGCGTCCAGGAGCACCTTCAGCGAGGCTATCGCGTGCAGCTGGGTCGCCTTCTCGTCCACTTTACCTGCAACATCTGTTGTTTAGGAGCGTTACAGACGCGAAATAAAAGCGTTTTTAAATTTTGAAATATAATCACTAATATTGTGCCAATTTGGTAATAATGTTTTCGAGAACAAACGGTACCTAACAGTTATAATTTTATTTGAAAAAAAAAGTTCATAATATATTTATATCATTTAATCACTTACTTTAGCGTAACTCTTCCAAAATTCATAAAATTTATTTCTAATATTGCAGTACTTTAATATGTTTCATGCTTCATAAAATCATGACAATTTTGGTCTCTAACTTAAAATATTATCTTTCTAATATAACAAATTATATTTGGCTAATTCATTGAAAAGTATCTTTGATGACTACTATTTTCATCGTTTCATTATTGCCAATTTGGCTGAACTACTGTACTAACTACTAATTTTATAAAAAGTAAATAGATAAACATATTTTATTCGTATATTTCATATTTTTACTATCATGCATTATTGATTAACAATTATTCAATTAGATTGATTAAAGATTATGTGTTCATTTCCCAGTTGTAGGTCTAGGAACTACTACTTATAAAGAATAATTTTAGAATAATGACAGTGATAACGATAAAAATGAATTTATTAATTATTTAAAAATCTAATCTATAGATTATAATTTAACATAATTTGAAAGTTTAATTAAGCGATGCTGTAATTCATAATATATTTGCTACTAAAATATTTAAGTAAAATAATTTCCACAAAACATATCTATTGCAAACTCATTACATAAAGACGTTCATAACTATCAGGTTGAAAACTTTTGTATTATAGGATAATACAAAATCGAACTTTATCGGGTACTCAAAGTTTGCACTTAATTTTATTATGTATGCTATGTTACATAGAAAATCTCAAACTTAGAAGTAACAACCTGTATGTTCAATAATTAACTATAATCCATAATATACTAATAATCTATATTTGTGCTTAGAGATGCAAAAGATTATATATATATATATATATATATATATCCTTTTATATATATATATACATATATATATATATATATATATATATATTATATATGTGTGTGTGTGTGCGTTTGTATGTGTTTGAAACAGAGAAAGTAATTTATGTACGTGCATATAATTTAAATAGATTTTTATTTGTTAACAGTTTGTAATCATTGACGACAATATCAAACACGTACAAATTTGAAGAGTCAACAATTTTTTCATATGCTATCACTGGTTCGTATAAAATCGATAACTATGTATGTTTACCCAGTTCCAGCACGCGATTTACTGCTCCTCAAATTTACGTGTATCGCGTAAACTGTTTTCATAAATATTTTATAGTTTCATTGCTTCACTAGAAGCACTATCGCATCGGATAACCTAGATAAGTATCCGACGATTTTATTTAGTGTCTGTCAATTTTATTTGATTATTCGTCAATATATTTTTGATAGATATGTTAAATGATCATAAACATTAACGATAAATGGATTACCTATATACACAGATTTTGAAAATAATAAATTTGCTAGTTTGTTTATTTGTATACGATTAAGGTCTGAATGTGAGTATCAATCAGAAGTTTATACTATTATTGGTTCATAATCTATTATAATAATGAAAATATAAACTATTTGATAAAGTATGATTTCCCCATATCAATACATTTTTCATAGAAACGGAAATTCTCATATTCGTTCCAGAAAAGTTCTGGTAGTTTTGTCCATGAATTAGATATCCAAATGCATCGTTTCGACGAATATGTATGAGACGAAAATCATAAACCTTTCTCAATATAGAGAGAACTTTTCCCACCGATCGGAAAATTCCTACCAATGCCCCATTTGTCGCATACTTCACGCCTCGCTAGAGTTAGAGATTCCAGAGGATATAAATATAAATACTTGCGCAGTGTCGATTGTTCTGTTCTATTTTACATTGGTAATGCAAATATATTTAAATTTTCGAAATATTTGGAAGTACTTATAGATGTAAATTTTCATGGAAATTTGCTTGTACTTATAGATGTAAATTTTCATGGAAAGAAAAAAATACTTATATTCAAACACATACACAATACGTGTTCAAGAAGTACTTTAAGTGCGATTAAGTAATGTTGAAAATTAGAAATATTTTTATTTTAAAATATCAGGATTCGAGATAAAGTAAAGAACACAAGCTTGTGGTATAATAATTTTTTATCATAAACGTTTAAATGAAAATACTCGCATAAATATAATAAATTGAATTTGTAAAGTGCGGATTATCGTTCAAAATTATTTGGAATTAAGAAGTTAGATGAAAGTTTAAGAATAATCAATTGCAGTAGATCCTTAAGAAGAGTCAGAATTCATCTTGAAACAATTTACAGAAAATAAAATGTGAATTATGCTCAGTGTACAATAAATGAATAACAAATTTTAGTTAAATTAGACGTGAAGAGTGCACATATTTCGCAAGTGCATAATTTTCAATTATATAATAAACCTAATTAATGAAAAATAAAATGTTAATGTAAATAAACACGATCAAATTGGGAATTTATTTAAGGATTATATTGGAAAATTTTATTTTACATATTTGGAAATTTTTATTATTTCATAAAATTCCATACTAATATATATAACTTTTGCTCAAACATACACCCAATATTTATATTCAAAAAACCTTTAGTAAAATTAAATGCTAAAAATGAAAAAAAATCAAGTTCCATATATCATAGTTGAAATTATAGTGTATAAAATTTTAAAATCAATTTTAAAAAATGTGGATTTTAAAACAAATTTTCTTCGATTTCGATATTTTTCAATTTTTAAAAACTACGTGTAAGTATCTATGGTCACATTCCACATATATCTGCCGGACAAGGCGGGTGGAGCTTTTGTCTACACGTAAACGTCGCCCTTGACTTTTCAACACGTATTTTTCATGAGAGCGTGCAGAATGAAAGGTTCGTCGAAGTTCCGATATGAATAAATGCGGAAATAACATGATGAAATTTTCTGTGCTGATAGATTTAAAATTCAAGCCACCATGCGTGAAAATAGATAAAGAAATGAATATAAAATAAATCACAAGATATTTTTGCGATATAATATTCATTATAAACTTTATTTGCATTGGTATAATTAAATAAAAATAGTATTAAAGAGATGTTTATATGCACTCATCTATTTTAAGAAAATTTTGTAAAAATGGTTACAAAGTGTTAATTTATCTTTTTTATCATATCATCATTAAAGTTTCATCTTTTTGTAATGTGCGTTCCATTTACTGAATCTTTTCCAGATCGTTAAGTTTAGCAATAAAAATAAATTATATCACACATTTCATCAGTGACTTTCTTTTTTCTTTCTTTATATTCATATTGCTATTGTAAATGCTACTGTTTTACTAGTAACAGTTACAAATATCCATAGAATAGATATTGATCTATTATAAGTAGCAAATCAAATTATTGTCTACATTATTTTCATACTACCATGTTTTTATTGTAATTAGATTGATATTTATCAAACTTTTCATGAGAAACAAACTGCTAAAGCTATTAATCTTTTTGTGTTGATATTGATATGAATACCCAAGTATTTCTTTCCTTTAATGTATCATTAGTGGATTATACAATAAATAGATTGCAATATACTAATAAAACCTAATACGTTTTGGCGAGTTTTTAAGAGTAAAAAACATATTTTTATAAAAATGGTTATAATCAGAAACTTCAGGCACATTGTCTAAGCGATTGGTTTAGAATAATAGTTTTTAGAAACATGATAAATAAGGATGGAATAATCATATCAATAATCTTATAAATAATCGATTGAAGATATTCATGATTACACAGACATATATGATGACATACATAGACATATATATATATATATATATATATATATATATATATATACATGTTTCACAAAGAAAATTAACAAAAAATATCGGATAATGACCCGAGAAAGTAGCAGCTGTTGCTGATTAGCACTTAGTGAAAATAATACGTGGTTTTCCCTAATAATGAGAAATTTGTGTTGTTGGGCTCTTAACCCGAATAGGAATCAATATGCTTATAATTCCATCAATGCCCCATCAAAGCGTTTTTATGACCCATATTGATTAATGTGCCGGTAATGAATGACGCGGCCTAATACATATTTAATACGACAATGAAAAACGCATAAAATAGATTGTTTTGTAGTTACTGCTTTTCTATATACCTAATTAAAATGTAATGATAAATAAATGATTAAAATTGAATTCAAATGAAACAGTACCGCAGAATTTCAAACAATTTGGCAAAAAACACGCTGGATTTTAATTAAATTTTATCAGATTATAATCTAGCTTTACTGCACTATAACCATTATTTATTAATTTTACAATAGTGCGCTATATATAATCCATCACCATCGATTTGCTATGGAAATGAGTTTAATAAATGAACGGAATTTCCTAAGATTGCAGAAATTTATATTACATACATTAATTTAAGATTCTTCGGATTAAAAATAAATTAAAACCTAGTAATTAAAATTATCATTATTCATCCCAAATACTAGAACTGCAATTTTCTGATTCCAGTTCATAATCCCGAGATAAAACTATTGGATAAAATATAATAAATTGAACTTATAAAGTGTGGATTCCCGTTCGAAATTATTTGGAATTAAGGAGTTAGATAAGAGTTATAGAAGAAGCAATTGCTGTAGATTCTCAAGAAGAAGCAGAATTCCTCTTATTATTAGAATAAATTTTAGAAAAAAATAATGTGAAATTAAAATTAATTTTTTTACATTTTAATATATAAAAATTAAATCCCCGAAAAAGAAAGATTCAATTTTTTCCAGAAATTCCGTGTAGGTATATAAGCTAATATTTGACATTGCATCGACATGTTCTCAAAAACGGTTGTATCTCAATTAGGACTCGTGTTGATAAGTCTTGAACGACAATTTTATAATATTTAACTATATACCAATAATTATATACATTAGTTTATACACAGTTAATATTAAATG